GGGATTGTGGGGCAAGATGACATTTCGTGTGTTCCTGAGGTGTTTTTTGATGGTCTTGCCCCATATGACCATCTTTTCCCATTTTTCCTTACATTTTCTGATGTAGTGTATGTAAATCATGGCTTCAAAATGACCAGTTCCCCATTCAGTTTTGTATGATGTCCTATTTTGTGAGGAACAAAAATAAAATTTCAATTATTTCTCCTACACGGTATGAAAAACGTACCCAAAAGTAAGTTCTTTTCACTCAACTCGGCACTATAGTGCAGGAACCCAAAAGTAGGTAAAGCGGGTCAAAGTAGTTTTCATTTACTTGCGTGCAATTCGTATGGAATTTTCCACTAGCTTTCTACCCAAAAGTAAGTTAGTTGTTCCCAAAATTAGGTAAATATGATTATACTCAACGTTGGGTTCCAACATTTACTACCCCTGTTGGGTGGTTTTGCTCTGTGGTTCTTGACAACAATAGAAGGAGAAAAGGAGACAAACTAGTCAAAAGTAGGTAAAAGTGAACTGGCCGTTGGGTACTTTTTTCCTACCGTGTATGCCTCCCCTTTGTGGCCCATATTCGCTACACGCTATTTCAAAACTACCCAAATTTGGGTAGAATCTACCCAGATCGGTCAAAACTGAACCTACTCAAAAATGGGTAAACGCTACTGGTTTTGTTTGCGGTTTCACGGTGTGATAAAAAGAATGAACAAACAAATTGCTTTTTAGCACACTTTCTAGAGTTGGTAAGGAGCGATCCATTAAATACGTGCTGCTCAAAGGGGGAAAGGGGATTCAACAATCTGTGATAAGCAATAGGTCTATTCCCGTGCTTGCATTTCTGTAAAATTCTGTACAGCAAAAAGCAAAAGTATATTCCCCTACCATCTATATTATTTTCATACAACAGAAACAGACCACAACTTACAGAAAGCTGCAGCAACCTTCAGCAAAAGCAAAAAAAAAGCAAGTACGGGAACAGACGTAATGAAATTCGGTAAAGTAAATAATGGGCGATTTTGAATCGAAACTCGGAAGATCAATCCTTTTGGGTCGATTCAGGCTTGCTTCCACTTACTTGCTATAAAAAAATGTTTTTCGGAATTATGAAATCATTTGATGTTATAATTGGCGAACCAGCCAATGGCTGAAAGCCTTGTAAATAAAGGAAAAAAAAAAAAAAAAAAAAAAATATAATAGTTACTTGTACTAGAAGAGGTCGTGAAATATGTGTTTGACACATAAAATCTGTAAATATTGCTTTCAGTGCGTCACAATCAGCGATTTCACGAGTGAACGCTCACGAATCGTAAGATCGCTGATTGTGACGCTCTGAAACCGAAATTGACAGGTTTTATGAATCAAATACATACTTTACACCCACTTCTTGTTACTTACTAGTACAACATATCATTATAACATCTAATGATTGCATAATTCCGAAAAATATTTTTTATGGCAAGTGAGTGGAAGCAACCCCGGTTTGATTAATCGATTTTTTGAATCGATCTCAGACACACCAACAATTTACTGGATCGATCATTATCTAATGATAATAATAATCTTATAATGCAATATATTTCTAAAGTTTAGAATCAAAAGGGCCTTTCTGCATAAATCGCTTCTGTTAACCAATGTTCTCTTTTGTTGGTCACATGGCTGGATAAACGTTTCTTGGTAAGTTTGCTGCTGTATTGGAAAAATTCCAAGAAATTGGTTCACCTAATTCTGGAGCCTTTTTGAATAGGTCCACTTGTGGATCAACAAATCGATTAACTTGCAAAATTGATGCATACTAGATAAACATTTCAAGAGGTCCTATCTGCATTGATCGATTCTCTTCATCGATTTTCTCTTTCGTTAATAATTCAGCTGCAAAACCATTCTCTGTTGCATTTGACGTTTTGGGGACGCTAGATAAGAAGCTCCTTTATCAAACTATGTGGTAAAATTAGCGCAAAATCTGTTTGCATAGCAGTGGTTATCAAAAGAGAAAGTCGATGAAGAGAATCGATCAAAGCAGATAGGACCATTTGAAATGTTCATCGAGCATACAATCTAAAGTGTAAAAATTAAATTAAAGGTTGTATTTCTCGCGCAACACGAGAAAAGGGCCTCTATTCATGGATTTTCTCTTTTGCGAATAACCCGACTGCAATTGCATTTTCCATCGAGTGTGTTGTTTCAGGCTACCAAGCTAACATCGTCTTCTGTCGAACCAAGCGGCGAGCATAGCGAAAAATTCGTTTATGTTAAGGTTAGGGACGTTAGGGTTGTTAGTTTGCGTGGGAGTGTTTTGATTCTTGAGAATTTTGTGTTTAATACCATTGTTTACGTTTGGTTGTTCCGCCTATTTCAATTGTTGGTCTAGAATTGATCATGGATATCATGAATCATGGATGGATAACGATGATACAGAGTGGTACCGCTGTTTGCGGATGAAGTTTAAGCCAGTATTATTTTTCTGGATTCCTTTATTCCTGGTAATTTGGTAATGAAGATACCATTTGCGGTCAGTATTCTTGCTATCAAAGACCAGTCATCCATCCGCAAAACGATACCGCTCTGTATGTATAGTTTGGCGTCACCAGTGGGCACCTTGCCAAACGCCCTATCTGCATTGATCGATACTCTTCATCGACTTTCTCTTTCGATAACCACGTTTATGCAAATGGATTTCGTGCTATTTTTGCCCACGGGACTGACATCAAATGTTTCCACTATGGGATTTCACAAATTTGACAGTACCCTCTTTACTGGTCTATTAATGTATGGCCTATAACAAACTAGAACATTTTAGAACAACTTTGCGGCTGTATTGCACATTTTACAACTGTAGCTTACACCGCATGTGTTTGTATTGCGTTGGTTGTAAGTGTGTGGGTGAAAAATAGCACACAACATAAAAATGCTGACTTACCAGCCCCTATTTTTTCCCAAATAGTTTGAAATGGAAATGTTTATCTAGCGTTCAAAATGACGAACACAATGAGGCTGGCTGATATTCCGCCATGTTATTCAAACCACGTCACATATCAAGTGTGAACTGGATTTTGTCATTTTTATCAAATGAAATTATGGTTGACTTCGTGGTAGAAAATCCGACAAAAAATGCTTCATGAATTCTACATTTATGTTTCAGCGAAAATATTGAGGATATCTAAAATACTAGTCACGCCTTTTGTTTTGAATCTCCCATTTGTTTACAAATTATGAGCTTTCAGTGGGACCAACAGTTCAGGGGCCCGCAGCTGTGTTGGCTCTTGTCGAGGCTAGGCAAACAAGATGGGGTTGCCAACTAGCTGTTATTTAGCACCACGGATGAGGTGAAGTGACTCGCTGTCACCAGTGAGGTGCCAGCCAAGAACAAAAGTCACCTCATGTGAGGAGACTTTCCATTTGATTTGCACAGAGAATCACCTCGCATGAAGTGACTATTTTCACCTTACCTCATTCGCGGCGCAGAATAGACCTCAATGGATAATCTCCCTATTCTGCGAGTCACGTTACCTCACCGGTGATAAAGAGTCACGTGATTGGCAGAATAAAGGGAAATGTTTTTTTCAGCTGAGTTATTCCCCCTTATTCTGCGAGTCACGTGACTCTCTCTCACCGGTGAGGTGACAATTGTCACCTCGTGTGAGGTGACTCTCCATGCAAATCAAATGGAGAGTTGTCACCTATTGTCACCTCACCGGTGAGAGAGAGTCACGTGACTCGCAGAATAAGGGGGATTAATTAAAGAGAGAGTCGATTATGAGAATCGATCAATGCATATATAGGAATTATTTAATTTTTATTTATATTTATCTAGAATTTCCAAGGGGTCTCTATCCTATAGTCGCTTTATTTAGTCTGCCGGATAGAATATAGATCTATCAAAAATCGGAACCAATTCAATATTTTGTAGACCAACAATTGAAAAGGTACTAAAAATTGATAGTTTTTTTTTCTCGCCAACCGAAAGCAAATTAACAGCATAACCGATAAGGGGAAACTTTTCCCAACTCGATGATGGTGATGGTTTGCGTAGGCAAGCCTTGAGTCACGTGAAAAGGGTTTCCGAAGTTTTCTGATGTTGGTCGTGATATGTTCGATTGGCTCCGCTATTTTACAACACAATTGGTTCCCGAGATTTTATCCGCCTATAAATATAGCTACTATACCTCTATCCCTGTCAAACACATATAGATGCACCATAACTCAAGTGATTTTGACATTTTTGGGCAATCTGACAAACAAATTCTGGACAAACTGACAGAGGTATGACAGAACAAAACTACTTACTCTTTCACACTTGCATCGCAGTGCGGAATACTAGAAAGAGTATTCTATTGCAGTCATCCTCACCCACTATATTCATAAATTTCGTGATTGTTGCCCCCGTGAGAATTTTTTCAACAGAAATCTAAACGCTTCGCCAAAATATTTCGCAACACTGGCGACAAAAACTAGTTTTCAGTAGCGGGTTCCTACTTGCATACAATGAATATTCATCCGTAAATTCAGTGAACGTCGAAAAGTTCATCAAATCCACGAAAGAACTTTTTGATACCGATTTGTTGTGTGCAATGTTGTGTGCAATGTTGCATGCAATAGTGGTGAATTGTAAATGGAAAGCTTTTACAGCTGAGCGTTCTGCTATTTCAAGCTGAAATTGCATTAGGTCCTAAGTAACATTGATAGATTCTCTTCCGTTAATAACTTGAGCAGATAACCATTTCTTGTTGTGTTTATCGTAGTGGATGCTAGTTGAAGATTTTTTTTTATCGATCTGTGAGCTGAAAATACCTGGGAATGTTTTTATATGGCTGTGGTGATGCAAAGAGAAAGTCGACGAAGAGAATCTGTCAATGTCACTTAGAACCTAATGCAATGTTCAGCTTGCAAATTTTGCTTTCTTGAAAACGATTAAAAGGCCAATCTTTCAAACAATGTGAAAACAGCAGGCTTATCATATTTAACATACCAACAGTCGAACAAAAGTACAGTAAAAATTTTCAACTTACCCTCATGGCTGCTATCCTTGGACAGGGTTTTGACCAGCTTCGGAGCGGTGTTGCTCTTGAGCCGCTCCACGTCCACCGGGCAGCACAGCAGCAATTCCAACAGTTCCTGGATCAATGGCCAATTCTTGGTGGTGATCCCATCGGCCAGCCACATGTGCACCAACGACCAGCCACCGGCAGCCATAAATTGACCCAGGAGTTCCGTTTCGGTGCACTTCAGTATTTGTATATAGATACACTTGGATACAAGTTTCTTGGAGAACTTTGCCATCAAGCTGTAAGAATAGAGAAAAACAATTGTAAGGTTCTGAACTGACAGCATCGTATTTAGTGAAAGCAATACTCACTTGGCAAGTCGTTTAACTTCGTTAGCACTGCGAATCCCTCCATTTGGGGCCAGAAGAACGCTCAGGCACACCAAAAGCTTCAGAGGGTCAATCCGTGGCTGTTGAGGTAAAAGAAACAAATTATTATTATTAGAAAAAAAAGTACTGCCACACAAAACTACTCACCATTTTGTCTTACAGCAAAGTCCGGGAAACCCTACAAAACTTGCTTAGTTTTACTTGATCGACTTGAATGCAATCTTGAACGTCATTCGATTGACGTACGCCAACTATCTGTCACTGTGGAGCTTTTCTCTCTACTGCTTCCTGTTCACGATTTCTAACTTCTCTCGATGACTTCCTTCTTCTTTACAACTTATTGATCTTCATGCATAAAACCATTTTGCGTCTTACTTTTCGCAATTCACAACTAAATAAAATTAAACAAAATCCTGTTTTAGTGCATCTTATCACTGACTCGACACTTCACTTCGACTGTTTTCTAAAAGCAGCTTCATTCCGAAGGTTTCAAGGGTCCCGATTATTTATGCTTAACTTTCACTATATTTTCAAAACATGGTGTATTTATTAATTCAACACATTAACGGTTCTTACCAAGGTGATAAATCAACCTTCATAGTCAAATCAATAAATGAAAGATTACCCGATCAGTGGTCGCATTTTTCGTAAAAATATGAATACCAGACAACCAAAGAGTAAAATATAAAAACAGCAATACTTTCTGCCCACTTCGTATGATACTTCGATGTTAGCTGAGGCAAAACCGGACCGGAAACTGAAAGTCGAAGCTTTCGTTAGGAGCTTTCAAATTGTACTGACGTCTGTCAAAATGGGTTTGCCACAGGGATGTCAAATTAAGTGAAGGTAGGGAGTTGTGTATTACTACCTAGTGCTACGCCCTGGGGTATGTTTTCAAGGTCATTCGATCAGATCATCAGATTCTGATATTCCCCTAAATTTGGTACCTAGATATCCTTAAAACCTTCGAAACCAGCTTACAAACTAACGCTCACTGTATTATGCTTAAATACTATAGAAAATTGTAACTCACTTGTAATGGTTTGAATTCTTCTCTGTAGTCTACTTAATTAGCAGACGTTTTCAAACTACTGATAACAGTCCATACATAATAGTCCTTTTTGCCGAAAATCTAGGCATAACGCAGCTACTTTCAGCTATTAAATTCCAACTTAGCTGCCACGTAATCAGGCTTTATTTCTCGAACGTCTTTTCTTGTAAGCGTTTTCAAAGATGGCGGCGTCGGCGACGATGACTAATGGGCAGATATTTTTACTATTTCCACAAGAGCCACCACAAACGGTCTCTTCTACGTGAAAACGTAGCCAATCTGCGAGAAAACGACGAAATAAACGCGAATTAACTACGATTGGTGGTCGAAACACTCGAAAAATAGCCAAAAACGGGTAAATGTGGGCGAAGCAAGATGGAGGAAAATTGCCTGAAATCCAATTGCTACAGCCTTGTGAAAAATCTACTTCTCGAAGAGCACAATCCAATACACGTCATAACTCACCAAGCGCTAAAGTCTTTCTGAACTCGCCGAACAAAACGATCGTCAAGGACCGATGCGGGCAAGCGAGAAAAGCTCTCCAGACTACAGCTGGGCGATATTGTGTACCTGCCTGGATGGCTAACATTTTCTAGTATGCCCACTGGGGAGGCGGGCTTTATGTGTGTAAACACTGTAAAATACGATTCCGCATTTTAATCTTTTAAGGCTCAAGACAACGTCACTCATTTTGGAGATTTCTTGTTTTTGAAATTGTTTACTGTTGTTTTACATCAACAGGCTGGATGAAGTCCCAATGATGTTAACCTTATCAACTATGGTAAAAAAAATACATTCAAGCATGGGCATAACATAAAAAACATATATCTTACATAGTCAGTTACTCCTGCCGGCGAAAAACAGAAGAAAACTTTCGACGAAGCGCATCACGGGAGAGATGAAAGTCGAAAACAGATGCAACTCTGTTGAATGTTCTCTGCAGTCCGCAAATCGCACCGTACGCTCCATAATTTGTGCGACGTAGAGGCAGTCTTAGGATAAGGTTATTACGAAGCGGTCGGGGTTGAACATTCAAGTCAATTTGCCTCAGGATAGCCTCGCAATCTGTCCTTCCCTGCAGGATATCGGCCACGGTTAGGGCTCTGCTTGTGTCTCTTCTAGTCCGGAGAAGTTCTAGGTCGATAAGTTGACAACGGCTTTCGTAACTGGGTAATCGAAACGGATCATTCCAAGGCAATCTACGCAACGCGAAACGAAGAAAGCGACGCTGAACAGATTCAATTCTCTCGGCACCGTTGTTGTAGTTTGGGTTCCAAACCGCTGAACAATACTCAAGCGTCGATCGAACAAGCGAACAATAAAGAGATTTTAGACAGTAGATATCAGTGAAGTTTTTAGCTATCCTAAAAATGAACCCTGAAGTTCTTGACGCCTTATCAACAACATATGCAATGTGTTACTTGAATGAAAGCTGCGAATCCAAGATCACACCCAAGTCTTTCACCTGATTCACGCGTTTGATTGTCGAGCCAAGCAGGTCATAGCTAAATATTATCGGTTGTTGTTTTCGTGAGAACGTAATAGCGGAGCATTTGGCTACTACCATTCTGTTTAACCTGCACCAACTAGTGAATACATTTAGTTGACGTTGAAGAAAGTGACATTCAGCAATGGAGCATATTCGTAGGAAGATTTTGAGGTCATCTGCATATGATAACCGAGGAGCTTCGATGACCAGATGCACGTCGTTGAAGTACAATAAAAAAAAATTAAGGGTCCCATGTGGCTTCCCTGAGGTATACCTGATGTGGCGAAGAAGCTAGCTGATCTGCAATCTCCTATGGCAACCTTTAGTTGCCAACCGGTAAGATATGATCGGTTGAATTGCCGGCTGATTGCTCGAATTGGCTCGTGTTGTGTATAATTCCGGCTCCGGGGTTCCAAAAACAGAAAGTCTCGTTGACGAAGAGACCTCTCAGGGGCATACATATTTAGCTGTGACAGCAGTGTTGGACAGTCAATGTCACCCGTAAGCAGCTTTCCAGCGAACATAGCTTAGGTGACCGTCCATCTCATCTCTAATGGCTCGATTCCCATGAGACTTCAACGCTCCTCGTACGGTGGCAAGTTCGTTGGGTCACGCCAGTTGAGGAAACGAAGAGCATATCTCACAAACTTGCATTGAACGGATTCAATTCTAGTGATCCAGCTAGCATAGAAAGAGCACAAAACAACTGAACTTGACTCCAATAAGGATCGCACAAGCGAGCAGTAAAGTGACCTGAGGCATAGCGGGTCACGAAACTCATCGGCAATTTTGAAAATAAAGCCCAATTGTCGGTTAGCTCTGGCGATGATGTCATTGTAGTGGATTCTGAAAGCGAGTCTGCAGTCCAAGGTAACTCCGAGATCCTTTATGTGCTCTACACGAGCAAGACAGCGTCCGTAGAGAACATAGTCAAACATGATTGGTTCGATTTTTCGGTGATAGGAAATAATGTTACATTTTTCTATGCTTAGACTCATCAAATTTCTTGAGCACCAGTCAGCAAAAATACCTAACATATTCTGGAGATCCCAGCAGTCCAAGAGGCTTTTAATAATTTTGTAGATTTTCGTATCGTCTGCATAGAAAACGCGGTATTTTTTTTTTTTTTTTTAACTCTTTATTTGTTCCAAATTCAAAATAAATTACATTTCATTTTTAACCTAGGTGCTCCAGTTACTACAGTAACTTACCAGCCTTAATTGTTATGATATATATCTAAGTGTTTTTACATTGTTCCTGTCTTGGCAATTCAGTATTTTAAACAGGTTTTTTAAACCTGCATGTCAGTATAACAATTGATAGCTTAAAACTAAATAACTAAAACTAAATCTTATCTAAGTATAAAGGGAATTAATCGTTGCAATTGAGGATTGTAACGATTTTTGCCGGAAATTATTAATTATTTTGTTGGACATTTGTGCTAAAGTCTCAACATTCGAAATTCTATGTACTTCGGTAGTACTGTACCAGGGAGGCAACTTCAAAATCATCTTCAGAATTTTGTTCTGAATCCTTTGAAGTGCTTTTTTCCTGGTAGTGCAACAACTAGACCATATTGGCACAGCGTAAAGCATGGCCGGTCTAAAAACTTGTTTAAATATTAGAAGTTTATTCGTCAGGCAAAGTTTGGATTTCCTGTTTATAAGAGGATACAAACATTTTATATATTTGTTACATTTGGCTTGAATGCCCTCAATGTGATCTTTAAAAGTTAATTTATGGTCAAGTATTAATCCAAGATATTTCACTTGGTTTGACCAGGAAATTGGAACTCCGTTCATAGTGACTATGTGACTACTACTAGGTTTCAAAAAGGAAGCCCTGGGCTTATGTGGAAATATTATAAGTTGAGTTTTGGAAGCGTTGGGAGAAATCTTCCATTTTTGTAAATAAGAAGAGAAAATATCTAAACTTTTCTGAAGTCTGCTGCAAATAACATGAAGACTTCTTCCTTTAGCGGAAATGCCTGTGTCATCAGCGAACAAAGATTTGTGGCAACCCTGAGGCAAATCAGGGAGGTCCGAAGTGAAAATGTTATACAATATAGGCCCAAGAATGCTACCCTGAGGAACTCCTGCTCTAACAGGTAGTCGATTAGATTTGGAATTTTGATAATTTACCTGCAGAGTTCTGTCAGTTAAATAATTTTGAACTAATTTCATAATGTAAAGTGGAAAATTAAACTTTTTCAATTTAGCAATCAAACCTTCATGCCAAACACTGTCGAATGCTTTTTCTATGTCTAGAAGAGCAACTCCAGTTGAGTGGCCTTCAGATTTGTTTGAACGAATTAAATTGTTAACTCTTAAGAGTTGATGAGTAGTTGAATGCCCATGGCGAAATCCAAACTGCTCATCTGCAAAAATTGAGTTCGTATTGATGTGAAGCATCATTCTATTCAAAATTATTTTTTCAAAAAGTTTACTTATTGAAGAAAGCAAACTTATTGGACGGTAGCTAGAAGCTTCAGCTGGATTTTTATCCGGCTTCAAAATTGGAACAACTTTTGCATTTTTCCATTTATCAGGAAAGTATGCCAAATGGAAACATCTGTTAAATAATTTTACCAGGAAAGACAAGGTACTCTCTGGGAGTTTTTTGATGAGGATATAGAAAATTCCATCATCACCTGGAGCTTTCATATTTTGAAACTTTTTAGTTATAGACCTTACTTCGTCCAAATCAGTCCCCCAGGAATCATCAAAAATATTTTCCCGAGAGAAAATATTCCGAAAATCCCGAGCAACCTGATTCTCAATAGGACTAGTAAGACCCAAACTGAAATTATGGGAACTCTCGAATTGCTTAGCAAGTTTCTGAGCTTTTTCCAAATTTGTGATCAAAATTTTACCACCTTCTTTAAGCGCTGGAATTGGCTTTTGAGGTTTTTTCAAAATTTTTGTGAGTTTCCAAAAGGGTTTGGAACTCGGGTCTAATTTAGAAACATTATTTTCAAAAGTTTTGTTCCTCAGGGCAGAGAATCGCTTTTTAATTTGTTTTTGCAAATCCCGCCAGATAACTTTCATGGCAGGATCTCGTGTTCTTTGAAATTGTCTCCTACGGACATTTTTAAGACGGATCAAGAGCTGAAGATCATCGTCTATTATAATTGAATCGAATTTAACCTCGCATTTTGGTACTGAGGCAGCTCTTGCTTCAACTATAGAAGTAGTAAGAGATTCAAGAGCATAATTAATTTCATCTTTGGTTTGCAAAGGAATGTTTGGATCGAAGTTATATTCCATAAATGTTCGATATTGCTCCCAATCAGCCCTATGGTAATTGAAAGTAAAGCTGTTGGGATTAGAAATTATTTCTTGGGATATTTCAAAAGTTACTGGAAGGTGATCAGAACCGAAGTCAGCATGGGTAACCAATTGGCTACAAAGATGACATGAATCAGTTAAGACCAAATCAATAGTTGAGGGATTTCTTGCAGAAGAAAAGCATGTTGGGCTGTTTGGATATTGAATAGTGTAATAACCTGCAGAACAATCATCAAACAGAATATTACCATTGGAATTGCTTTGAGCATTATTCCATGAGCGGTGTTTTGCATTAAAATCACCAATAATGAAGAATTTAGACCTATGACGGGTAAGTTTCTGGAGGTCACCCTTGAGAAAATTCTTTTGCTGGCCTACGCATTGGAATGGCAAATAGGCAGCTATAAACGTAAGTTGTCCAAATTTTGTTTCAACAGAAACTCCCAAAGTTTCAAAAACTTTGGTTTCAAATGAAGAAAGAATTTTATGCTTGATTCGTCTATGAATAATGATGGCAACGCCACCACAGGGTCCATCAAGACGATCATTTCTATAAATCAAGTAATTTGCGTCCTTCTTAACCTTATGGTCAGGTTTAAGGAAAGTTTCAGTTATAACGGCAATATGCACGTTATGAACTCTCAAAAAATTAAATAGCTCGTCTTCATTATCTTTAAGAGATCGAGCATTCCAATTTAAA